CCATTACAAATATCTTTTTTAGCTTTTGACAGGATAGAAGCATCTAAAGCAGTACAAGTTATTTGCAATTCAAACATTATTTATCATTAAGACGACTTTATGCAGCATAAATTCCACACATAGATTGTTTTAACTTGTCATTTTAGGTTAATAAATAAAGAATTATGAAGTCTGCAGCAAAAACTAATTTCTAAAGCCAATTAGCATTTAATAAAAGTAGCTGAAGGTACTTCTTGTTCAGAAAAATGTCAATCTAAATCCTGAGCTTAAAAAAATGACAATAAAATGTTATCACTGCTAAGGCTCTAATTCTGAAAGTTGGGTGATGAATAAGAATGGCAGAATTGATGTCTTTGACTTGTTGTGTAGGAGAACAGTACTCAATATTCCATGGATTGCCAAAAGAATTAACAGGCATGTATTGGCAAAGGTACAGTGGAAATGCTTCCTGGAGGCAAAGATGGCAAAGCTTCATCTCTCATACTTTGGACATGTTACTAGAAGAGGCTATTCCTGGGAAAAGGATATCATACTTGGAAGGGTGGAGGGTCAGCAAAAGACAAGAAGACCTGAATTGAGATAGATGGACATGGTGACTGAACTAATGGGCTCAAGTGTATCAGAGATAGTGAGGATGGCACAGGATAGGACTGGGTGGTTTAGGCCTATTGTTCATAAGATTGATATGAGTCATACTTGACTTGATGGCACTCAACAACAACGACAAAACCACTAAAGACAATCTTTCCTGACATTCATTTTGGTCTTTTCTTTCTCTGTTTTTGTAATGACCTTTTACTGATAAGACCTATTGATGATATCCTTGATATCATTCTATAACTGGCTCTAAGTTATTAGTATTCAAGGCCACAAATCTATTCTTAAAATGGTTTTTAACTTTAGTTGGGATACAGTCAAGGTCATATTTTCATTCTTGTAGCTTGTTTTCATTTTCTTGTAATTCAGTTTGAACTTACATATATGAGCAGTTGGTGGTTTGTTCCATAGTTGGGCCTTGGTTTTGATTGGTAATATAGAGCTTCTCAAAGGTCCCTTTCTACACATGGAATCAATCTGATTCTAGGGCTGATGGGCTGTGTAGTTCATCAGACTTGATATATCAGATTGCTTGCATTTGAAAGTTGGACAATGAATAAGGCTGACAGAAGAAGGATTGGTGAATTGCATCGGTGAATTGCACTGTTAGGGAAGAGTATTGAATATCCCAAGAACAAACAAACTTGTCTTGAAGGAAGTGCAATCAGAGCGCTCCACAGCAGTAAGGATAGTGAAACTTCACCACACTTATTTTTAGCATGTTTTCAGAAGGAACCAGTCCTTGGAGATATCGTGCTGGGAAAGGTGGAGGGTTGGCAGAGGAAAGGAAGACCCTCAACTTGATGACTAATGCTGTAACTCCTACAATGAACTCGAGTATATCAGATGGTGAGGAGGGTGCAGGATAGGGAGAGGTTTAAATCTTCTGTTGTTCATAGGGTTGCTATGAGTTGTAGTTGACTTGATTACACCTAACAACAACAACAGGGAACTTAATATGAGTGCTCTGGTGGCATACGCAATAGGAAGTTGTGCTGCTAACCCAAAGGTAGCCCCTCTCTGGAAGTTTGAAAAATAAGCAACTCCTCCAGTGTGAGTTACAGCCTCTGAAAACTGCTGGTTTTGACTTCATGACAATGTGTTGGGTGAGTGTGGGTGCTAGTGCATTTCGGAATCTGGGTATGAGACAACATGTTCACTGTTGTGATGCACTATCAACAACAAGAAGCCATTAGTGTGCTAGAGATAACTGGGATATAAAAAAAATTATCAAAATGGTTAAATCCACAAGAGACAGTTCACCAGCGACACCACTGGTTCAAAAACACATAATGATGTAAATACGATCTGCAATGTATTTGCTGAGCTGCTTTGCAGGAGGATGGGCAATCTCTTTCTGTGTGATTAACTGCCTCTGAAAACCCACTGGAACGTCAGCTATGGGTTGGTTCGAACTCTATGGTACCCAACAACAACAACAATAATGAATAATGAATATTATAATAATGGATATTTTTGTTGTTGTTATGTGCCATTGAGTGGCCTGCAACTCATGTACCCAATGTACAACAGCTCTGAAGCCTGCCCTGTCTGACACGCCTACTCTCATTACCTCAGTTACTGTATCAATCCATGCCATTCAGGGTCTCCCTCTCCTGCTCTGTTCCTCCACCCTTCCAAGCATGATGTCCTTCTCTAAGGACTGGTCCCTCCTGTGCAAGTGCCCAAAATATGTGAGACAGAGCTTCAAAATCTTAGCCTCCAAGAAGAAACTTGGTTTCACCATCTCCAAGACAAATTTACTTGTTTTCTTTGTTCATGGTATGTTCAAGACTCTTCTCCAGCATCACAACATAAAGGCATCAGTTCTTCTTCTGTTATCCTTAGTCATTATCCGGCTCTCTCATGCATAGCAAGTAATTGCGAATATCACAACCTGGATCAGGTGCACCTTAGTCTCTGACTAATATCATTGCTTCTCAGTACTCTACATTAGTTTATAAATACCCTGTGTTTCCACTGTTGTTTTTTGCCGTCGAGTCGCCTATGTACATAGAGATCCTATGTACAATAGCCCTAAACCTTGTTCTATCCTGTGCCAATCTTATTGTCTCTGACACACCTACCCTCACTACCCCATTCACTGAGTCAATCCATCTCGAGGGTCTTCCTCTCCTGCGCTCTTCCTCCACTCTCCCAAACATGATGTCCCTCTCTAAGGACTTCTTACACCTTGCAACATGTCCAAGGTATGTCAGAATCTTTGACTCCAAGAAGCAGCCCGGCTTCACCCTCTCCAGGATGAACTTTTTGTTCTCCTAGCAATCCATGGCATATTCAATACTCTTCTCCAGCATCATAGCTCAAAGGCATCAATTCTCTTTCTATCATTCCTAGTCATTGTCCAGCTTTCTGATGCATAGCAAGTAATTACAAAGACCATGGCCTGTATTAGGCACACCTTAGTCTCCAGACTGACATCGTTGTTCTTCAATGCTTTGGAGAGGTCTCTGACAGCAACCTTTCCCAATGCAATTAATCTTTTAATTTCCTGGCTCCTGTTACCAAGAGTGTTGATTGTAGAGCCAAGCAAACAGAATCTGTTAACAATCTCAATCTCTTCACCATCTAACATGATGTTACCAATCAGCCCAGTGGTGAGAATCTTTGTTTTCTTGATGTTGATCTTTAACCCATATTGAAGGCTGCAGTCCTTGACCCGCTGTTGCAAATGCTTCAGGTCCTCTTCAGTTTCAGCAATCAGGGTTGTGTCATCTGCATAATGCAGAATGTTGATGAGTCTAACTCCAATCCTGATGCCACATTTCTCCTCATAGAACTCAGCCTCCAAATAATTTGTTCAGCATATAGATTGCAAATGTATGGAGATAGGACACATCCTTGGCACACACTCTTCCCAATTTTGAACCATGCAGTATTTCCTTGCTCTGTTCTGACTACTGCCTCCTGGTCTAAGCATAGGTTTCACAAGAGCACAATCGCTAGAACCAAAGATAAGGAGAGAATACTGAAAGCAACAAGAGAGAAACAAAGAGTAACCTATAAGGGAGAACAGATAATTACTCAGCAGAAACCATGTGAGCAAGAAGACAATGGAATGGCACATATCAAACACTCAAAGAACACAACTTTCAACTAAGAATACTGTACCCAGCAAAACTGTCCATCAGATACAAAGGAGAGATCAAAATATTCCCAGAAATACAGAACCTAAGGGAGAGAGTTCATAAAAACAAGACCAGCCTTACAGGAAACACTGAGAGGTGTCCTTCATACAGAGATGCCACACATGAGCACAATCAAGTGTTCTGAGATTTCCCTTCTTCTCAGAGTCAGCCACAGTTTATTTTGATCCACACAAATGCCTTTGCATAGTCAATGAAACACAGATAGACATCCTTCTGTGACTCTCTGTTTTCAGCCAAGATCCATCTGACATTAGCTATAATATCCCTACTACCATGGCCTCTTCTAAACCCAGCCTGCACTTTAGGCAGTTCTCTGTTGATGTGCTGTTCCAATTGGTTTTGGATTGTCTTCCGTAGAATCTTGTTTGCATGTAATATCAATGATACTACTCGAAAATTTCCACACTCTGTCAGATCACCTTTCTTTGGAATGGGAACAAATATAGATATCTTCCAGTCAATTGACCAGGTGGTTGCCCTCCTGATTTCTTGGCACAATGTGGTGAGCATATCCAGGGCAGCATCTGTTTGTTAAATACATCAGTCGGTATGCTATCAATTCCTGGGGCCTTGATTTTTGCCAATTCCTTCAGAGCAGCTTTAACTTCTTCCTTCATCACCGTAGGCTCTTGCCTTTACATTATTTCATTAAATTCTTCCTTGTCTGTCAAGTCCTTTTAGTACAATGACTCTGTATATTCTTCCTATCTTCTTTTAATGCTTCCTGGATCTTTTAGTATTCTGCTCAAAGTATCCTTAAGTATCGCAACTCACAGCTTCAATTTGTTCATAAGTTCTTTAGCTTAAGAAATGCTGTGAGAAATACTGACCTTTGGCTTGCGAAGATGGCGGCGGAGGCAGAGACAGTGTGGTGAGCTGTGGGAGCAGCAAACCACTTAAAGCAGGGCCATTATGGCCTTCCACAGACGTCGGCTTACTGATAATTGAACACTTAAAACAGTTGATGACTGGCCCTCAGTGAAGATCGAGGCTCAACAACAGGAAATCAAGGATTCCCAAGGAGAAATGGGTGAGTCTCGTGGCTCCTAACACCCCTGCAGAGCCTGCGCTGCACTGCACAACCGCTGCAGCTCCATGAGGCTTCCACAGCCGGAACAAATGGATTCCCTCACGCAGGATGGATGCTGGGCACCGGCCCTCCTCAAGACTGGCACAGAAGCCACCACACTGCAGCAAGGTGGACTTGTTCTGGAGAGAATTTTTGGAGCCAGGATGGCGGCTGTGGGGGAAGCAGGCGACAAGCAGCTGCCCGCACAAGAGGGGCCGCGCACACCCCGAGCCCCCATGGCCCATGTGGCGGGGTGGGGTGGCGCGCCCCCAGCGGCTGCTAGCACTGGGGGGGCATGCCTCCCTCTGGCCTCCCGCGCTGGGGCTGGCCTCCTGTGCTGGAGTGGGGGCACGTGCCCCGCTGGCCGCCTGCATAGGAGGTGGGGGATGGGATGCATGGCCGCCATCTGCAGGCTTAGGTTTCCTTGGACAGGCCAAGGAAGATGGGATTGCTGAAAGTCACTGTGAGTCTGATGACCTTAACAGTGGCAGCATGCACAAGAGGACTGACATCCTAAATGCACCACTTATTTTGTTCTGTTGAACCCTTCTGCCAAAAGATGGTTAGACCTGGGGGGAGTCTGTTCACAATTCTCAGGTTCCCTTTATCATATATAAAGGGGGAGGGCAGTGACACCTACTTCAAAATATAGTAT